GATGACTCTATTTTGTTGTTCTATGGCCAAAGAAATTTCATTGCTCAACAGTTTACACCTAATTTATCGGGATTTCCCTTCCGCCTCCTTGTTTTATAAGACTGTTCCGCATGTTATTAACGAAATGAAATTTCTATGTGGTGGATCAGCTAGACTTCGTTTTTGACTTTAACTAGTTTCGGTAACAGCCAGTGACTCTATTTTATTGGCCAACTGCCAATTTTTAGACATATCACAAGACCATTTCGCTTGTCACCCGAGTTCGGTATTATATTCGCAGTTCACTGATTTGGCTTTTGCACTAACTTGACTTCGTATTTTTTTCAAGGTTTCGAAAAAAAGCCCACCGATTACTTTGACTTATTTTCGAAAAACCGCACAGTCACCAAGGCTGACACGACGACGTCTGCTAACAACTTCGGGACTACTAACAGTGCAGCTGAGGTATGTCCCACTATGCTTTATTCCAAAACAAATGTGAACAACCCTATGATGACGACAATATAAGACGTTTCATGTACAGAAAATATCAATAAGCTGATCTGCTACGTCAAACCATTTTGCAAATTCCTCCAGTCCCTTAAACACACCACTGATCCATCAGGCGATTTTGCAGGCTTCTTCCGACTGCCCTCTGGGTTTATCGTTAGTTCTAACAAAAGCGAAGCAATAAAGCTGTTTAGCGCCTCAATCTATTCCGAGTTCGCTCAAGTAGCAGAAAACAACACACAAAATAAGAATGATGATACAATGTTTGTAAGAACATTTCGAGATTCTAGAAGAGCTCTAAGGATCCCTTGTATGGTCAAACTACCTCTCCAACTCACTAAGAACTTCGTTCGCGTTGAGCTCTCAACCTTTTATTGTTTGATGGATTACTGTTCATCATAGTACAATTTGTCGAACTCAAAATTTGTCCGAGTCCTTCTCTCTTGGTCAAAATAATGTGGACCTAAATATTCTATCTACCCATTCACGTGCAAATTTTTGTATCTAGTCAAATGTCCGACTGCAAGTTTACGGCTGTACACAAGTCCGTTATATGTTAACAGGGTATCTGATAACGAAATCACCACATTGCATTCTTTGATTTAATAGAGAAGTTGTGGCTTCACATGGTTTGGTTTTATGTCCCAGCACTAAAGAATATTCATTTTCCGTAAATTATCAATATCTTACTGAAATTCTTGTTGCATCACAGACTAGGACAATTTGAGCTCGTAAGATAGCTCTTGAATAAAGCATGATCCTAACTTTCACCAAGTAATATCTCATTATGCAAATTTCTTATCCTAGCTTTGCTCCGGAGCTTGCCCAGCTCCTTACGATGCCAATAAATTACACACACGTTCCCTAAAGCAGTCGTTTTTTTAGATTGCAGCCTTTGATTCAGACATATCGGGGAATGAGGAGTTGGCCTCGTACATTAAGGCGGCTCTCCATGTTCAGCCTGATGTAAATTGGCGCCTGCTAGCACTTCGCTCAAGAGCTGGTGCAAAATACTTTCAGACGAAGGAAAGAAATGGACCACTGTCTACAACCCCCATCTCCTCTCTTGATGAGGGCCATTGTTCCATCTCCTCATCCACGCCTAACCACAGCAGCACGAAATCTACCATTCATGATTTCCGATTTTCAAGAGTCATAGATGATAGGGACTCTGCAAATGGTTCGTTTAACGAAGACACCGATTTACGCAATCGAAGTTTAAGCAGAACAGGGAAAACCTCAACAAGGTGCGTAGGTAGTTTTTTGTGAACAGAGTAGACAAATTTAAATGCAGCAGCCATCAACCTGGAAAGTTAAATAACACTACATTAAATGCTGAGTTGAACATGTTCTATAATAACCAAGAAGGTGCTTCGCACCTTTGATTTTCCCGTTTTGATAAGGACAACGTCGACATTTGTCCACTACTTTATTACCACAGCCGTACCAACAGAAGAGGAGATGTCACGAAGCCTGAACTTGGATCTTCTCGAGAAAGGCGAAACGGGATTTGTTCGAGAAAGTCAGTCGATGGCACTGTAGTTCGCCGAAGGCAATCCCAGAAGCTCTCTGAGTCCTTGTCAAATTCACAACACGACGCTTACACGTCCCTGCGAAGACGCCTTGAATACGACCCACAGGCCTCCGCTGCCAAAGATGGTCTGAGAATCAGAGGCTACGAAAAACGTGAGTGTTTCGTTTTAAGAACTGTTTTAACTAAGTACAGGAAGCAGCCAGAACGAGTAGAGACGTGTGTTCTTGGCAATAACCAGATGCTTACGGTAGTATTAATATTGCCCTAATGCATCGAACATCCCATGAAACGACAACTTGTTCGTACTTGAAAACTAGTGGCAAAACGTTTTCCTTGCAAAGTTTAAGATAGAACTTTTAAGGTTTTTCCTTAACGCTTCTTAATGATTATCCAAATATCAAAATATAAATAGCCCAGTAAATGCAAGAAAGGAAAAAGACATCCGTTATGGAAGAAATTGAGCGTAATGCATTTACATTATAAAAAAAACTCTCGGAAGGTCCACTTTGTGGATGATATCATGACTCATTTAGCCACCCCATGGAAATGGGTGGTTGGGTATTATTTGATCCTTGCAAATTGTGATAGATAAGGGGGTTTTGTAACACATGGTCAGAAATCAACCCATTAAGACGTAATAGTTCTCAATTGTCTGACCTATTAATGGTCCAAAAATGTTTAAGGTGTTATTCTTTAGTGAGATTTCTTAATATCTTCTACATATATATTAAGTTACACACTTTTCTCTGGGCACTAATACATTAAGCATAAGGAATTTCGTGTTAATTAATATTTTTTGCATTATTTTCACTGAAGATAGCGCATACTTTTAAATTTAGACTTCATTTAACAAATTATGTCCTTTATAAAACCAGGTTTAATATACTGTGCCTGGAACCCAACTCAGTACCAATATAAGGCGAAAACTTTGTGTTTGATATACTGCAATAACTAAGTTTAAAGGAAAGGATTGAATTGCATATTGTTACAAAATGACACTTCCGCCAGGACAAAATATGCAAATCCTGACGCACATACATCACTTTAATTAAAATTACATCGTTTTAACCTGGAACCAATGGCAACTCAATGGTATTCATTTTAATAGGGTGAAATTGTGTTGTTGGGAATTTCTCCCACCATTTCAGTTTAAATCTTTTGTTTCTCCAGGAGACAGAGGCAAAACTGACTCAAAGACTTTTATTCAAAGTCAAAACGACTGTGGAGACGTCCGGCTGTCGACAAAGGAGAAGGTGACCAAGCCGCAATCCTCATTGGACTTCAGGATGCGATCGAGGACTTCATCGAATCACGGAGTAGACTTGACAACTTCTTCAAGTCAAGCCCCTAAAAATCAGGTTAGTTGTATAATTACGTGGTGAAGTGAAATGTCTAAGCTGAACAAATTATTCATTTATTTAAAATACCATTCAATTAGTCCTCGATGCTAGAAGGCCTGTGTTTATGGTTAGCAGGTGTTAACACTTATGAAAGACCTCTATTTATTGTTAATTGATTATGAGACTGAGCAGCTGAATAAACAGAAATAATTTGCAACAGTCCATTCGATGATCAAAATTGGGAAGTTGAATGTCATATTTGTCAACCCAATAGTAAGCGCTGCCAATTTGCCACATTTACGAAGGTAGTGCGACACGGCGACCTCGAAAACGTCTTCCCCACAATCCATCACTCATGTGCTCCTTTCACAAATTAATGTTTTCATATCTGGTAAATTGGAAGGTTTATAGTAAAGAGATATGCCATGACAATTTAGAAGAATGATATTTGAAGATCTTTAGCTTCTCAAATTAGTGCTGTTGAAGTTACAGGGAATAGCAGATGCGTGCAGTTATCAGACTGTTCGTAACCACATTAAATAAAGCTACTTGATACAATAGTCTTTCCAGAATACGTGACGTTTCGAAAGCTGTCTCATAATCTAAGCATTTATTTGTATTTATTTGCTCCTAGATAGTGATTTGCTGGGATTTTTCATTTGACTTTCAATCGGTTAAGGTAAACTCTTTAGCCAAAACGTGCTTAACTTTAATCAGCAGTCATGATAGCGAGGTTTTGTGTGCGTATCAATTTTTTTTTCACTGTAACTCATCATTGACGCTTAGTAACTTGACAGACACGTGTTGTTTAGCAAGTTGAAACTAAGATTTCGACGATAAAACTAATCACAGCTGATTGACATAACTTAGGTCGTATTTGCCACAACTGGCTCTCTCCGGTGTACTGTGCAGCTCGTCATGTTAGTGTTCCAAATCTTCCCATCCTTTACAGAGAAAACAACCGGCGGTTACAGTTTTGTAAATATGGCGATGGAATTTATGCGCTGATTTCATTGCAGTGATTTCCTGGTTACGTAAGAGCAGATAAACTATCTTTTACCTGCTAATAACCATTTAATCAGTCACTACTGCCAGATAATTTAAATAACCCAAGAGAAGCATTGATGTGAAAATGGTCATTACATCTAAAATGCCTTGAGAATACTACCGAGTCCCTACTAAGCCGACATTTCCTTAGGCACTGTAAAAAATAAACTTCTAGAATAGCTTCGTCATTAAGGTGGAGTGACGCGCCGAACCCGCAAAGAAAAGAAGACGGTTCGAAACATCCAAAAGCGAATACGTCGATACACTTTGTACACTTTAAACAGCATTCGGCATGATTACCACCCGTTCAGCGAACAAATTTGAAGCAGCACTTAGAAAAATCAGAATTAAAACAACGGATAAATCAGGTAAAACGTGTAATTTTGCTGGCACTCCATACTCATTCCTGTTATGAACCTCACTATTTGTTTTTGAATGCCAGAATACTAATTTAGGGGAATTACCTTTGTAATGATCTACTTGGAAAAAAGAATAAACGATCTGGCCAATTGCGCCCTCTAAAATGGTTGTAATTTAGTTCGTCTCTACGGGAAATCTTTCTATAGGTAAAATTATACTTTTAATGTCATTTTGTGGACTTCCGTCGTGCCATTGGAAACTATAATCAATTAACTGGTTGTCCTAGTTTTGGGCTTTCTCCGCAATGACTGTGACATCTAAGAAATGCGCATTAAAATTATTACTCGTTTTTTTGTTTCGACTATGTTGTCGAGTTTTTAAATAGCGTTGCCATTGAGTACCCGCTCATTTTGATTGGGTGGCCAGTAGAAGCGACCCTAAAAGGCACAGATGTGCGAAAGTGCTCATGTGGAGTAGTGTTTGGTTCCAAAACATGGGTGTATTAGTGCATGGGCATATTAGTGCGTATTAGTGCCGCCTCCATTTAATCCCTGGTCCGGATTGTTAATAATTTTTGCCTCGTCCAATGGACTCACTAGTACATGAATGAATTATGACTTTTTGCTTGGCAATTATACAATTTAAAGCACCATATCTCTAACTTGTTTATCAAACCATGAATGCAGTAGATCGATTCGGTTCCGTAGTCCTTTATGACGTTGCGCACCTCATCTCAACGGGTATTGGTCCTGTGGGTAAATGCAGACGTTTTTCCTTCGTAAAAATTTTTTTAGGATATCAACCACGAATTGCAGTCATCTATTTAGAACCACAGGCGTATTTTACAAAGCAAAACATATCCCGTTAGCTTGTGATTAATTCTTTATACTGGACGTTTAAGCGTTAGCAGACTCATTCGTTGTGCTGATGGTTGTGCATTTTTCATGGAACTGAAAGCCAAACATAAATGAAGAGCGTGCAATCTTCCCGTAGCTCAATTAGTGTAATTTTACCGAGGTTAAACACTTTGATTTGTCGTGAAGAGCAATTGATCCATGTTTAGTTAACTCAAGCGTTATTAAACAATTTTGGCGTCGACGGATACTTTTTCCAAGGACTTTACTCCACAAAGGAATTTGTTGAACTGCCTTTCGAAAATTTCGTTATAATTAAAAGCACAAGTCCAAACACCTAATGCAATAATGGGCTTCGTAGACTAGAAATTTTTCCAACTTGAGTCTTCGACATCCACAAATGCATTTCTTTCATTGACCGCCTTCTTATGAACTTTCACCTGGATTTCTTTTATCCAGAGGGCAACCAGCAAAGACTTTCACGCATTTGACTAAAAAACTTAACCAGGAAACTAATTTGAGACTGTTAAAATTTATCGTCTGCAAATATATAAACTAATGATATCACTTTTCCTTGTTCAAAAACAGTGTTACTACTATAATGAACTTGGTTTGAAATTTAATGGAATCCATTGAATGTAATTACAAAACCGCCTTCATCCCTAGTTATTTATCTAGGTAACAAATTTTGGCTCTAATCATATAGCTCCCAGCAGGAATAGATGAAAGTTAACGCTTTCACTTAAGAAATTAGCAGAATCAGATTGCTTTGCCATCTTACTGCCATGCAAAGTGAACCAATTGCTATCTTCGCGTATCGTATTTGTAGAAATTCGAGCCCCATGACCTTCTGGTTGTCGGCATACCCACACTTGATCTTTGCCCACATCGAAATGGTTGATACTCGATACTGGTATAAAACTGCTTAGTGGCGTAATATGCCATGTTTTAAAAAGCTAATGTGTATGGCGTTTTGAAATAATAATAAAAATTGAATTTTGTATTCTGCCAAATGCCCCCATTTTGTAAACTATAAAATGTATGACTGTTTACAACCAGGACAATAGCAGTAGTAATAGGTGATAGCCAAATTTATTTGCTTGAAATATATTATTATTAATTGAACTGTCATGAGGTAGGTCTCCATATACCATCCTGTTCAGCAGCAAATGTCGACCACTGTTGTGTGGAGTGGTATTTCCAGTACCACTCAAGACCGTACTGGCTTAGACTTAGAATTGAGCTTGCCTTTTATTGAGGTGATTACAAAACTAATACACTTAACTTACGGCTTAGTCCAGAATTGATTTACTTCTATTAGTGGATGGAGAGAGAGATTTTTGTAGAATGTTGAGCATTTTTAATTGCGCAGTCCACCTACCCTAGCTCTCCTGCTGTCTCACTCCGATTCGATCAACAGTCCACTTGAGTTGCAGCTAGTGTTTTTGGGTCCACTTCATTTTTTTAAATGTGTATAGGCATTAACATGTTTTAAGCACATAATTTTGTACAGTTCCTATCGTAAACAGCAGGTATCGGTTAGTTAAATGGCTACCTAGATTTTGATCGGTGACAAGTTGCCATTGTAGGACTGATTTTTACCCCAGGTTCCTTAAAAGGCCTCCCTGTTTCAATTCTGCCTTCGATGGTCCAAGATTATAGTTGTCCAAAAGTGTCGGTACGCCAAATTTGCAACAATTATGGTGCCTTTCCAGTAAAAAAGCCTCAATTATACATTTTGTTAAGTTTTAACCTAAGATTAGTTGTACCCCGTTACTGTTTGTCGATGGACGCAATACCTAAATCCAACTGTTTCTGACATTATTATTGAATGCACCGCAATGTCACACCATGCTCCGCGGGTGAGTAACCAATTACGTTCATTTCGTGTCGACTGCTCACCGACATCTTTGTTCTAGGGGTTTGCAAGATACTCACAAACGTTGACTAATTAATATTGTTCTTTTCCTATTTAGAGGCGCAGATCGGTCGGTCAAAACAGGGAACCACGAACTACAGACGAGGTCCAGCACCTATCAATTTGCCGAACCCGATCTGAATGTCGAAGGGTCAAATCTCTCGTCAAATCCAACGATGTGCCAATAAGTGTTGACAATACAAAGGTATGAGTACAAGATAGAAACGCCATAAACTAAGAGGAATCTCAACGCTTACCGATATTTAAATTTAGCCCAAATTGCATTCATTTGTGTCTGAAGTAAGCACCTTAGAAAAATTATAGATGATCTATACCGTTTATTTTCATCGCTTGTTATAGTTAACCTCGATATTGTAAGTTTAATCCTTCATGCTACACGAAAGCCTTCTGTATTAGAAAATGATATTTTATATATGCTGAAAGCAGCTGGTAACGTATACATTATTTTGGATTATTTAACAAGAAACTGTATGATGATTGTATTTTATAAGCAAACAAAACAAAAATTCATTTTCCTTATCAGAAATACTCGGATTTAGAAGTGGAATCAATCAGTCTTAAACTGGAGCGTCTCGCCAAACACGTCGTTCTTCTTCGAAAGCTAGTGGAGTAAGTACATCATGTATCCCTAACAAGCAAAAAAGAGCATAGCTGATGCAACCAAATTTGGGCCCAATTGAAATCATTTTCGTTCCTCAGTGTGCAATTTTACAGGAATCAACATTCATACACTTTGCAGAAATTTTGTGGCATTACAACTATCAAATCAGACCATGTTTGACAAGGTAACCTTTGTGGAAGTTAAGTGATGCAATTGCGTTTGTTCAAGTGATTTAACGATTGAGCAAAAGCCCTCGAGTCCGCTTTTACAAAGCATACCAAAATCGTCGTATTTTGAGGTGGAGCAGGTGCTGATGTTGATGGATTTAGCGAAGTCAATCCTGTAGTTAGAAAGTTGCGTCTTCTATGAGTCAGTGTGCAAACTTCACATTCTATTCAAATATGAGCCGTTAATTCCTTAGAAACTGGAGCAACAGATTGGGTTAAAAAGTTGTTTGAACTATGCACCGAGATTTGTAGACCTACCCATTACCTGTCACATGTGAATTTCTAGTAGCTCTCCTCGCGGAGTCAGTAAGATTAGCTTTAGAAAATGACCAGTGATGTTGCTTTGTCTAACCCTACAGAAGAGACTACGCCGAGTCGGGCTCCTGTTCGCCTGGCGACGACATCTACGTCGACGAGGAGGTCGGGGCTCTGAGCCACGGCAAACCCACCGGCATGCACCCCTGCATCGCCAACTCCCTGCGCAGCATCCGCGTCCTCGAAGCCAACGTCCAAGGTTCCTTTCATCTAAATTCACCGTGTGATTTTGGTTTGCAAATTAGACACTCAGGTTAAATTTTGCCGTCTATTCAAATTTTCAAGATTATTTCACTGTGTTTAAGAGCCCAACACTCCTTAAAAAGGAGAAAATCATAGTGTTAGAACTAAGGTAATCAATTTAAGTGTTCGTCAAAACTCTGAATGACACATGTTATCATTCAATGTATTGCACTAGTAGCTTAGCCCCATTTACTTTTAAGCTATCAAAGCTTTCAAGTAATCAAGAGTGATTTCCTTAATCGAGTGTTTGGATGAAAAGACTGTCTGGAGGAGATGATTGATGCCTTGACACTGCCTGTTAGTGATCGCACGTTTTAAAGTGGATGTGTCTATTATAACATAGCAATTTAAATGGATAAATGATAGACAACAAGTATTGGCTAAAAGCGTACAACATGGTCGTGGGCCCACGAATGACTGGTTAATCAAAATATAACGCAATGCTAAATAACAAGATTTAGAAAATTTATTTAAAGTAAGCACCTGGTCTTGGAGAAGCGGTGAGTGGTTGTTAAATAAGGCTGCATATTTTGGAGAGCCTAAGTCTTCACAGTAAGCTCAATCAACCTCACAAAACAGTTGTAAGTAAAAGGATCCCAAAGCTTCCTCAGTTCCTAATTTATCTACTCACTGAATTAGTTAGCACTTCTTTAAATGTTTATTTACATAAAAACCTGTAGTGCCACTTCTTGACGATGCGATTATTTTGAAGGAATAAATATTCAACATACTTATAGAAACAAGCAAGATGTTCCGAAAAATGCACATGCGACGTTTGTAATTTCCATAGATGCATCTTACCAAATCGATGCACTCTATCTCATTCCCCCCACACGACCAAAAACAGCTCTGCCTCTCCTCTGGTTCTTTTTTGAGACGTGATGCTGGTTTATGCATTAAAATTGCTGCGTAAACATTAATCAGGACCCTGGTATTTTGCATTGGACTTTGTGAGCATATTCATCTCAAGGCTTTATATTACAAGTTCGACGAATAGTTGCAAAGGCATGTGTCTTGCTTATGCAATATATCTGAATCATGGTTGGGCTGAGTGACTATGCTAGATTATTTGTTGCCTCATGGTTGCCCCTATCTCACCAGTAGGACAGTCCCAGTTACAATCTAACGTAAGCAACAGGTGTGATCCCTCCCCCAAACTGTCATTTTAAAGTTCTTCGTTGAGGAAATGTGCCGTAGTTAAGATTTCAGCAGGGTTTTGCTTCATTTCCAAATTGTGCTAATTGGAGCAATTGCCTTCATAAGAAGCGAATTACGTGTACCGTAGATTGAGGATTTTATTTTTGCGTCTGATTTTAATAGTGCACAAACAACTATAACTGACAGGTGCTGCGTTTGATTATAGCTAAGGCAAGAAACTTCTTGGGGCTTGCATGGCGACGTACGATGCATAGATTGTTGATAGTTTAACAGAAAGCACATTCCAGAATTGGTAGGAAACTTCCATTCCGCAGACATATAATTACTGCGACGAATTTTGATTTTTTGTCCTGCGCCCTGGTAAATCTAGCCCTACTTGGCTTTTCTTCAACATTTTAGAACTCTTTGACATGCTATACGCAAACGAAATTCAGCTCTGGTCACCGAATGGGCTAACGACCGACTAAGGTGGCTCTGGAGAACCCATGGCTTTCAAAATGCCTACTTGTAACTTTCGAAGATTTGTATATTTTTATTTACCGATTAATTTCATTCCTCCTTCCTAATGTATATCAGTTATTCCAACACGCAAAGTTGCTTGGTTTTATTTTTTTGTGACATCAATAAAATCTCCAATTTACACGACTCCGAAAAATTGTCAGTCAGAGCTCTGAAGCCAGCTGCCTTCATAAATGCCATTTTAACGATTCAAGGGTATTGTGTTGTTTTTCACCATTTGCCATTCCACGCCACGGTAAATAAAGTTGTCATTGCCCTAAAGTTGTGATTATTACACTCGGACGTATAACACCTCGACTTTTCTTCATGTCTTCCTCTCCGAGCTATTTTGAATGGGATTAGAATGGTCATAAGAACGTTTTTCTCAGTAAATCACCTACGAGTGGACTTTACCTAACACAATCCACTTCACCGCGCGTTTTACCTGCACTTTCCCTGGGCAAAACTTGTGTTTGTTTATAAACACGCAACAAATGTTCGACATGTTTGGCCTTGATGGATGGACGCACGTGCCACCTGCACACACGCACACAAACCAGCTCACGCTTGAATCTGAACCTCCTTCCGGAGAGAACTGCAGTTTACCTGCCTCGAGTGTGATTGCAATCGCAAAAGGTAGCCAAATATGCGGCTTACGCCAGAATAGGATTTCGCCACTAGCAACTCACTCCATCTGCTGAGCCATTCTGTCTGTTTAAACTGCATATTTGAGCATGTGAGGTGTATACTTTGCTCTATCGCTGTCAGTGAATGCGGGTCGATTTTGGTAGGTCAACTAAGACAAACCTATGTGCTTGGGAATTTTCCAACCATTTTTAGACGAAACTGCAACGAATACTCAGCTAACTAATGACAAGAACTTGGTCCTTTTCCAGTCATTAACTTAATTCTGTCGTCTTGTGTATTGCACGAGTCACATTATGCCTACTATCGGCTAAAATGGACTTGTTTGATTGTCCAATACCATTACAAGTGACTAAACTATTAGAAAACGGCCAGTGGCGAAATTCTTTAAATATATCCTTGTGAGCGCATGTTAAATTCACGCTTTTTTTACATTACTGACCCGTATATGGCATTTGTGTCGAAATATCTGTGTCCTTACGTCATAAATCGCTTTAAAAACAGTGACCAATCCCGGTGGAGTGGGTAAAGTTTTCGCTGTATAAAAGTGTAAAGGCAAAGAGAACCGCGTATGTTGTCGATTTAACTCAGCACCACCAATCGCCCCGCAAAGCTACAGGAGCCAGCTACTTGAAAAATCTTTGTCTGGAGGGCCGCTAAATTATTGTCGATACAAGCAGACACAATGGTTACTTAGTGTTAAAAGAGTAGGGTAGGTTTCTAGTTGTGTTCACTAAGGATGCTACTCTAGGGTCTATGCAGGAGAGACGTACAGCATAATTTGATGGATAACCACAGTAAGTCAAGATAATCATTCACAAGGCTCATGCTTTCATAGTAGACACATTAATGCCATTTTATATCTCGACGCTTGAAGGAAGCGATAAAAATAAGCCATCAAGCCGCTGTGCCAAGGCACAATCGTGCAGTGAAGAAGGGCGTCTTCGTGTTCCAGCTAGACCACTAAAGCAAAGGAGACTTTAGTATGAGGTAAATGTGGTGGCAGAAGTACCCCACTAGGAGCGTTATGCAACTCAAGTGAACGAAATCAATTAAATATAGGCCTTGTTGACTCAGTCCATCTTTAATTTCAGATAAAACAGGGATTTCAGTATTCGTCTCACACTACTTTCCTAATCAAAAGCCCCTTAAGCTACCTCTACCGAGAGCATTTAAGTCCAAATAGTTGAGCTGAGCAGTAAACTCCGCTTGCATGCCCTCGAGAGATAAAATCGTGCTGCCCCCCAAGTATCCATCGTCAGATGAAACGAACTTTGACATTCTGAAGAGTCAGTTTGTTGGTGATTGGGGGTATAAATTGCTTAAATGTGTACTCATTTGTGTGACCCGCAGTGATTTGAATGCTTGGTGAACCAAATCGGACGGCCTTCAGTTCGCATTTGGCTAGGCACTGGACTCACATTGCCTCTGACGTGGTGACGACGAACTAACTTGAGAAATTGCAGGACGGATCCTGGGGCATTAAGCAGGCGAAAATGAATGTCTTTACATGGGATTTATGCAGGAAACTACTAAACTGCAACCCCTCGCAATGCTTTAGCTCATTTGCCCGTCTAGCAAAAGTTGTTTCCGTTTATCGCAGTGGAAAAAGGACGGTGAAGTTGAGATAAAGGAAGCATATTTTACAGATTATGGACAGGCAAGCATTTAGTCAGAATCACTCCCGGCACCAGTGCTTGGACGGTGGCAGGCAAAGAGGGCGGAAGACGAACCTGAACTCATACCAGAAACGCCGTTGGTTCTGTTGTGTTGGGAGAACCGCATAATCGGAATCGACGAACTAGACACAGTGGAGGATTTAGTGGGCCTTGGAGTTACGGCAGCAGCGGCAGAGCTAGACTGAGTCGCGGCTTGAAGTGCGGTCCAATTCGCCAGAACGACTGTTCCGCAAACAGCCGTAGCACGATGCAATAAACTGTCCAGACTAGGAGGCAGGGGAAACGTGGGCTGTCTCGCAGTACTGGTAGATCTAGAGACGGTTGGATCTAGCAGCCACAGACCAGATACTTTTGGAGCTGGGGGCACGACGGATTGTGAGAGGCGGCCCGCCATAACAAAATAAGATCCTGGGTCCAGTGAAGGAGCATTATTCGGAAACTCCGTCAACGATTCCACCTCTTCCTCATCCACGCAATTTTCATTGTCATCCAAAGCTGATCCGAATTTAATTGGCAGACTGCTGGTACACACAATACCTCGGAAGCCGATTTGTTCACGGGAGAGGGAAAATTGCAGTGTTTCGCGATAAGATGGCGAGAGATCAGGACTTGAAGATGCAGGTTCCCAAGACATCCATTCGTTTTGAGACTGCGAATAGCACATGTGCATCGCTTGACTGTCACGTTGACAGGCATTAAAGGGAAATGTGAAGATGTTGGCTGGCTGCACCTCATCCGGGCTATCTGGAATGAAACAATCGTAAAAACATCACGAAACCGCCTCTCTTGATGAAACGTGAGTGATCAGAATATAGATTGATTTACTCAAGCTGCTAAAACGTTGCCGAAATTGCTTTAATGAATTAATGGCGAATGAACCTGGCGAAACTAAGTAAACAGAACAAAACACGCACTCTGGTAACAGAGATGAATACTGCGTAGATTTGCTGACACCACCTCGACAACCCCAACCTAGTCCTCTGATTAACGCCTTGTCATAGCAGAAGCCGACATTCCTCCACTAGACCATGCAATTTCACCTAGTAACTAGTTTGACCGTGGAAAGTGCTTAGCTATCGCAAACTTTACCAAATTTTTGATTACAGACCATCCGTACCACCAAGAAATTCAAAAATTGCAGGAACCACATGCAAATAAGATCACGCGGCGAATTCATTGAATTCGCCGCTTTTTAATTGCGCTTTCTTGAACGAGACAACCACTACGAAAAGATGCTTTGTTGTTAGTTTCATTCTCGCGGGACGTCCAAGAAAATCCTTATGGAGACATGGAAACGAATGAGTATAAACTAAGAAGAAAGAAGGAAATATTTCGACATTTCTTAAGCCAATGCTCGAAGCACTATCGAAACCTTGTGCATTCAATGCCACAGATTATTGAAAGACATAGCTAATTCACGAGTATCAGTCGTAAGTTTACAACAGCCACGGATCCGTCTACTATCACTACATGCAGGAACCTACAAATATAAAACCGGCAGGATTTAAATTCCGCTACCGCCCAATTATCCACCTTACAGGAAACTTTTCTTTCAAATGGAAAATAAGTGTTTATTATTTATGTAGCTGTGAGGATCGAGTTTGAGCAATTCTATCCAATCAACTAAATTTACGAGTTTGGCATTATGCATGACTCCAACATGCATATTTTTTTGTGACTGAACGAAATATAAAACATGGAAATATTAGCAGCGCCGTTGCATTACAATTACAGCAAATGGGATAACGCGATCATTGATGCATAAATCAGCAGCAATTTTAAAACAAAACTTGTACACCAAGTCACTCAGCATCTGATCAGCGTGTCTACAGGTCACAGAAGCACGAGATTGGCTGGTACACACGACAAAAAGTCACTTGGCAAATCAAATTTTAGAAACTAGACTAATTCGAAAAAAAAAATTAAAAATACAAAAATTCAACGTTTTGTGGGTTTGCATATTTTGGTGCGCTAGCGGCAAATATGGCAAAAGGGCAATTCAAAACTTCGGCTTGCACACTCTTATCACCACCACCACCACCACCGTCGCCGTGCCTAGCACCACCAATAGAGACCACACAGGCGCAGTAGCCAGACCTTGGACCCACTTATGACCGAACGAGAGCAACGACGGCATTAGAATAACTGCACTACCTTCTATAGTAAATGTACAAAAATTTAATTTTCACTTGTAAAATGTGCATAAATATCTTGGTTTACATACTAGAGTTTACGCCTGAAAAAAACTAAGCTAGAAAATGGGGCTCTTCTATTTCACAAACGTCCTGGTGAGGCCTAAATGGAGGACATTAAAATGAGGAACTCTAGTCTTCGCCAAAGGTACAGGCCAACTGATTCAGGGAATGCATATCGCGGAAAGCTTAAAATATGTGAAGTAAACTACGAAGCAAACGCACCTGCTCGTTGTTCGTCGCTATTGGATAAGCGGACACTAACGAGGTCGTATGCACGCAAAATAAAGTCTGGCGAAGGAAGTGTTTGAACCTCAACAGAGTAATCGCCACTTCCCGGTGTTCCAGCAGGTCGCATGCGTATAAACTGGCTCCCATCACCTGAGTCTAGAGTTCCATACAGCCATCGCTCTGATAGGCCCTGTGGCGTGGCGTGGGGCATCGGTTTAAGAACCTTGTGATGAAGACCAGCTCTAAAAGGCTTGGGGTAGTACTTAATCCATGTCCAAGATGGCGGATCAAACCGGTACACGCATAGCACAGTCTCGTTACACAGTGTAAAAGAACAGTAGACCATCAATCCATCGGCCGTATACACAATTCCAACGGAATGAGGTAATGAAGACGTCGAAAACGAATTCGTAGCCCAAGCAAATGAACTATGCTTCAAGTCTAACTCGGGCATCCATTCCGCTTCCAGTGTGGCCAAATCCCATATCAGACCCTTTAATGTAGCTGTATTAATCTGATGTATGAAGAGGAAGACCAGGTTCTGGCAGTTGTGGGTTTCAGCAGTACATAGGTGGATTGGATTACTTTCGCTGGGTTCAAAGAGAAGCGTTCTCTCAACGCACAAGGGGCTGAGACTGCTCAACACCTGACCACTGAGTAAATCAAGGAAGTACAGAACAAAAGAGGACGATGTGGAGTTCTGTCGAGCTACTATTGTTAAAGTAGGCACATCAGCACGGGGACGAAATGCGCTTTCGCCCAAAGTTGAATGAAGCAGTCTAGCTGACAAAACTGCCTGAAAGTGCGAGCGCAAATTATAAGAAAGGACCGTTCTTATGGAAGAAAGACATCGATTCAAATAAGCGTCTGCAGCTACACACTGGGGATAATCATTGAGGAGGTTTGCTAAATTCTGTAGGCCTGAATTACTTAGCAAACCTAGTCGGAGCGATGTAATAACAGATCGGAGCATCTCTGATGTGTGGCTGCTTTCGGTCCGGCATCGCTTTGGTTCGGTGAGTGAGAATTGCATCCAATCACAGATGGTATTGAGAATTTCGTCTTCGCTGGTAAGAAAGATCTTGTCTGAGGAAAGTGTCTGCATTATTGGCATTATTAAATACGGCTGTCTAGCATCAAGATTGACAAATCTGGAACTAAGAAGTATGGTGGGGTGACGATAAAGAAATCGAAGAAGCGGTCTTTTCAGACATCTTAAACGATGATCAGAAAGAATCGGAACCATCTCTGTAAATGTGCCGCAATCATGAAGGCGTGAAAAGCAAGCCGACTGAGGATGAGTTAATGACTGAAGAAGGTACTGGAAGAGAGTCCGCAGTTTCGATTTAAATCGAGGCATTTGTAAGTAGTCTGCTATGAAAGCTGCCTCAACGAGTCTACGAACTTCTTCCTCTTTTTGACAATCAGAAGAAACCGACTGCCCACATTCGTCCAACAAGGGTTCCACTTTACTTGAAAAGAGGTCATTGTTGGAAAGAAAGTGCTTTAAATGTTGCAACTGACGTGGTGAAAATTCCGAAAGAAAGAATTCGCCGGAACGCGATTCCGACATACCACTCTGAAGGGCAGCTTTAAAGAAATGACTTGACTCGACAAGGATGTTGCGGGGTATCTAAATGAAGAAGACTAGTTAATGTACTTAGTTCTTTTGTCGAATCACAAGTTAGAAGATAAAATTAAACTCTTAAATAATACATGCAATAGAATAATGGGCATCACACTGTTTTAATTCTTTTGTATTAATTGGCCTCGAACAACTCTTAATGATTAAAGAGACGAAGGTCAGAATATTAAAACCTGATTTTTAATGTATAAATAAGCAAAATGGCTTACATTTCGAACAAGTTTGGAAGTGATAATTCCATTCGAAGTACTGGTTAAAGCCAATGACAAAAAACGACACTATTTATTCATGACTCAATTCAGCCATTAGGACGCATATACAATCAAGAAAGACAGATAACAATATCTTCCAGAGATATTCCATCACCGGCTTTTGAATTATTGATTAAATCCGAAAGCCACAGTAGATACTTAATTCACATTATGATTGTCTTATATATATTGGCACAATGTTCAAAGACGGCTCAGCGGTTATGCTATGGCTTGCGCCTGAAAATATGCATTTAGGTGCATCTAGCAGGTAGTAAAATACAGATTAAAAATCACATTCAACGAATGACGGATAATTTACAGTCGATGTGCATAAAAATGCACCCGCAGTCACAATCAAGTATACTAAGACGTCAAGGGACAAAAAACATAAATTCTTTTAAGGATAGAGCCCACATCATTAACTAACAGGCCATAACCATAAATAAAGGTAGGCGGTAACACGAAATCAGGTAAAAATTACACATCATTGTCAAAATTATTTCACGCATAGGTTTGAACATTACAACACAACCCAAACAGCACACTAAATAGCTCGATTTAGGCTCACTAAAGCTGGTGTTTTAAGGTCCATAAATTAAGAGAAAACATGTGCATAACTAAAAAAGGAAACTGATAAAAAAGCAACGAATGTGGAAAGCTTATTGGTAGTCGGAAATTAGTAACTTCCGAGTCAATCTGTTAAACACACAGTAAATAGTTCCTGTGTTATACAAATTTTGCAAATCGTGATTTATCATGTTTATGATATTACAAAATGCCAGTTTTGAGCACACATCACAGGTCCTCATTACAACAACACAAAAAAGATACATTTTAAAATTTATAGCATTTGCTTACGCTAATACTAAACTCCTCTGTAAATATATTGACATCCTTTTGGTCGACGGATGATTGCATAATCAACATAGTACAACTACAATAGAGATCTAGCTAGCCCCATGAACACCCAATAGACGAGTGTGCGCATGAAGGCCGACTGATGCTAGCAGGCTGAACGGACAACGAATATAACGAAAAGTTGAAATACAAATAAACAGTGGTATTAAGTAGAATGTAATGTTTGGCTTTTACACATATTAATTAATAGAACCGTCTTAATTAGCTTTTTCGGCACAAAAACGCACAATTTAACGACAAAAAGCATTTTTGGCAGAATCTTAATGTGAACTATAACAATGCTTTAATTAGGTATGAATCGTGAAAAGTTAGAAATCTCAGACACAATTATATAACTTTTTAATTGTTAAAATGCAAAGTGAATATCTTCAACGGACATTTTAAACCTTAGTATTTCAGAACAATATCTCTCTCCTTTTGAGATATCAAACTGGTTCAGGTAAAACTAATTTAACTTAGAGATGGGGAGCACACGGAGATAACAGCAAGAAGATCTCAACTGACAAGTCTTAAAAATTAAAAAATTAATTCGATTTGTCGAGAATTTTTAGTTACATTCCTAATTATTTCAAGGAAATATTTGCATATCTTTTTTTAAAAACATAACGCAGATGAAACAATTCTTCCTGCAAATTTATTTTTAGTGTAATGTTCGATCCAAAATACGTAAAAAATACTATAAAAATTATGCAAACTCTTCTAATGAGTTCATATGAATAAACGAAACCCAAACTAGTGGGAAAATTGCTAGTAATTCGAGGCCTGTCTTATAACTGCCGATATGGCATGGTACAGACATTTTAATGGAGATTCCTTGAAATTGTACCAGAACGCTGCATCCGCTTGCATTGATTTACCGCAAACGTTTATTAATCGTTGTGAGTTGCTGACCTTCATATGACCCTTGTAACAATTCTTCCGTTTAGGGGACCAAAGTGAGTTCTTTAGTAAGCAGACTTTATATGATGCATTGGGTTTAAAACTTCGATTTTAAAAAAATTATGGACAATAGCTCGAAGAAATGCCTAATAATTCAATCTGAAACGAAGGACATGATAGATTGATCTGATGAAACCAAAAAATCAATGTGAATTACTCATACTTCGTGTTTAATAAGGAGACTAATGTATATCAGGCTTCTCATTTCTTTTCTTAAATATGCTTTACCTGTAGGTTGGTGATGGGTGGATGCGTGTTTAATTACGTAAACCCTTTAAAATCAAAACCAGTGTCATTATCTAAGAAAAACAGAAAGGCATGACAGCGCCATATAAATAAATTTAGTCTAAGGAAACATAGCTAGACCCGACTATGGTTAAAAAGGCCAGTATTTAAATCTTCTAATTTGTGGCATTAAAATCGATAAAGGACCGAATTAATTTTCGCCTAAAACAAGGAGAATTGTGTTAAAATTGACAGTTAAACGCTTTCTGAATCAGGGTTCATATAGGCTTGAACTATTGCACTATAATTTGAATAGGAGAATTAGAAAACGATGGTGCTATAGTGTACCTTTTTGGGGTTCAAGTCATTTCTCATACTAACAGCAACTGAACTGTCTTTGACAAGTGGATATCTTAAGAAAGCTATAATATTTTTTAAAGCTCTCAATTCCTGTTAGTTGATTCAGGGACAACTAGAACTGACATACGGTTCTTGAGAACCAATTGTAGACTTCACTATGGATTAAAGTGAAGAGCTTGAGGTTGCTTGTTTAAGTATACGACAGCGAATGCATACGTTAACTGAAAATGAATTTAAAGCAAAAAACCAGTAATACCTGCAATTGGCTAGCCAATAGCTGGTTTGTGAGATGAATGTTCCAAATATGAAAGGCAGGATTGCAGAGGAATACAAGAGATAAAAGATAAGGTGTCATATTTGCCCCGTTATATTCCTTATGCACTTCTTTTTACAATACAGTTTTTATAAAAAAGATTCAAAGTCCTCATTATGGGTGTATAACTCTTTTGTTGCGTTTATTTACTGGTTGACATTTACAATTTGAATTAATTATTGACTTAATATCAATATTTAGGATAATTGCTACTAGAATTTACCGTGACAGATTATTTTACCCTTCTTTGATTTTGGAACGTAAATCCACAATCGATTATAATACTGTTGTATTGAAAGTTATGTAATACAAAATTAATGATGATGACATCAGTACTGCTTGTTGTACCAAAAAAATCCATCTTCGATCGACACCAATCATTGTTAAATGTCACCAAATTACGTCTGTTAGAAGTTCAAAAATGCCTAGAACTCAGAAGGTTGCAACAAGAAAAGCTTATCATTTTGTGAAAAAATGTTAGTTGGTAATATACATAATCTAATAAATGACCAAAGATTTAAAAAATTCATTGGTGATGCAATGTCACTGCACGCCTTTATAGACAGTTCCTTTAAACTGTTGAGTGTAGACCAAACGACAGAGCAGCCTGTTTAACGTACTTTCAACAATTCTGTCAAATAAAGGTAATGGAAGCTACAGAGCGCTGCACCAACTTGTATGAAGGAAAATTTATTGTTAAATTAATATCGTTAAAAAATTTTTGTCAAGATGCAACTATTTTTCAGCTTCTTTGCGTGAGCTGTTTGACGGCACTCCACATGACAATGATGACTCCGGAGGATTATTCAAGTAAAGCTATCATTTGGCTGTCAGTGTAGCCATTTTAACCCAATTAAATTACCCTTCAAAACCTAATTCTTCCAGAAATCGAGTGGCGTTTCACTGCAGTTAAAATAAACCAAGATGATTTACGGTATACAAAAAATATAAGACGAACTAGCTTTAATGATTAACTAAGAACCGTTAAAGGATAGGCCATTACCACCTACTCCAGGTATTGAGGCACAGCATTTTATTCATTGTGCAAACAAGCATGACGTGAAGAATAGGTTATGTAAGGAACACCAGTAATTATTGCTAATGTAATCATCCTGATTTTCCCTTTTATTTTCACTGCGGAAGAGGTCACTTCATATGCAGATGCAAAATTTTCATTTCCTATTAGAAAAGGAAATGGTTGTCAGTGCTTTTAAGGGACAAGGTTTTGTCACATATGTTTCCAGACCAATCACGTCGTTCAAGACTGCTGATCTTCGGCAAATTATGCCACTAATGGATACAGGGAACCTCGTTATACACTACTGCATCCACTCGATAGCAATCATACTTCTTAACCAGAACCCTTGGATAACCAAATTTATTAATACATCTCTTGGTCACTGGTTTTTGCTAAAGAAAATGAATATTTCTCCTTATCATGATCCGATTGTCGACGATTTCGGGATAAATACAATTTGGTTCAGAATCTTCTTCCGACGAAAAATTCCCGAAATGGAAAAAGGGCTAAACAAAGAAATTCTAGGGAATTCAGATGAGCCTTCTGTCATTTCTACAGCTATTATCAACACAATCACTGTCGATCACACGAAAAATGAAAAGCCTTTTCAACAAGACCCAACTGTTAGAATCCGTTGAAAGATGGAACCAACCACGCCCGACACAACTCACCTGGCACCCAAAGACACTAAGGAATCAGTAACGGAAGGCAAATATCATATGGATTGCAGTTATGTTAAGGAAGATTTTAAACGTACAGGACTAAAAAGGCCCATGATTAAGTCGCAAATTCGGTAAAATTTGTTATGCGTAGGATTATAAAATGTCTCAACTTTAAAAAAGTGTAACCACATGAACTCCGGCTTTAAAATACATATATCAAACTGCGTATTTAGCGTCTTATTAAAAGAAACTTTAAGGAGTATTCTAACAAATTCAGCATTGTAAAAGGAAAGCTGCAACTGGTTAACATTAAAAATGCCAACAGGGCTTCAAAAAGCAGTTAAAAGTCGTACCGAGCCCACTTTTGTAAAGCTGAGAAAAGGAAGAGCTCAAATTTCGAACAGGATGGTATTTTGATTATCTACAATTGTATTCCAAAGTTTTTTTATTCAGCTTTCACTTGTTGATCTTGCAAAAATTTAATCAATGTTGTTTTTAGATTCCACGTTCTCTTTGCACGATTTCTATTAAGCGAAGGCTGAGATTTTAAGTTGGAGTCAAAATTTTTCGCCCGTTCTCTCTATATTAGGTTACTTCTTTTACATTACGTCTCCTAGCAAATCCAAACTATCCATTGGCCGGTTACCAGATACCGCTACCAAAATCGAATACAAATGCTACTAGCTTTTAAACATTTTGTGAGCGCATTTCTCGTTTGCTCCAATAGGATAATCACTGATCACGCCACTATGTACCCGCACTCATTTATACACAACCACCATCTGCTGTTTTGCATTTGCTTTCGGAACATAAATGCATGCTGACGAACAAGGTCGCAAGCAATGTGAATTTAAACACAGCAGAGCTGCTGGTGCATGGAGATAAAACCTAGATAAAATAGGAATTTAATGAACAGAACATGAACTTTATGATACATGAACTTTATGAACTTTAATGAACAGAACAGAACTTTATGATACATCAACAACTGTAATTCAATTCCTGCTTGCGGAGTTTATGCAATGAATATCTATTGTTTAAAACAATATTAGATTAGTAATTTGACTAAAACAGCCCTTCTAGTTTAGCTATGTATGACCTCTAAACAACATTAGGTGCTTTTTTAAGTATTATAAACAAAATAATTTGTAAAACATAATTTTAGGTAACTTTAATGCGCTTTTGACTGAATAGCAAGCAACAGTGTTTAAATCCATAACAATTCTTATTAAATTTGGTGTTTGACCGTGGAAACTCGGTGTGTAATTCAAATTGAATTGAATAGCAGGAGTATGTTAGTAGTTGGTTCGCGGTATTCCGGTCATGCGGCTCATCGTTATGCATTGCAACTGACAACAAAACACTTTTTTCTAAATATAAGATTTTCCTTTAGCACGGTAGCTCGCAAAATCGATTTTGGAATCTTGTGTGACGTTGATGGAGTTATCTCTAGAGGTCGTTCTGTAATTCCTGCAGGTCTTGAAGCCTCTAAATTATTACACAATGAAACTGGTAAATGGCGTGTACCGGTTTTGTTTTTTACAAATGCTGGGAACGTGTTGAAGAAGTCAAAAGCGGCCGAGATTTCTGAGATGTTGAAGACTGAGGCAAGATTTTTTCCTAAATACATTGTTTAGGTTCTACCTTCCGAGATTGTAATGTCACACACAGCTTTAAGATTATACTCTTGCTATTTCGAGAAACATGTTGTGATCTGCGGTCAGGGTCCCGTGAAAGATATTGCCCGGAAAATTGGATTTAAACACTGCTCAACCATTGAGGAAATTTCCTCTATGTTTCCTTGGCTTGATGCATGCAAGCCTAAGGAAAGGATTTGCGAGGTTAGCTAATTTTTCTTGTTCTGGTTAATGTGAGGTGTAATTTCTCGTTTTTGGCACGTCACGTTCGTAAACGTAATGTTAGTTATTTTTTTGGTCCACATGGTGTTCTCCGATTATTAATAAAAGATTTCGTTAAGTACATTTAGGCCAATCCTTGGTGTGAATTCGGTTATTTAGTTGATGATTTTCTACTATTAAATTGTTTAGAATATTAGAAAATTCTCATTATCTTTTGCGTCAGTAGTTGTTTCTTTTTCAAAGTCAGCATTATTTTTTGCGACCTTAGTAAATTCAAAGTAAAACATATTTCGCTTTTCTCGGTCGGCTTCTATTTTCATAACAGCAATCGCTAGTGATTTCATTATTTGCCTATGAAGGCAATAACGTTGTAATCCGTTATGTGCGTAAATTAGTTTTCTATAAATGTGTGAAAGGTCCAACTAAATGCTGCCAACTCACCGTAATTTCCCATTAAGGGCGATGTAGGCAAAAACAACTTTGAGAAAGTCGAAGGTACGTTTTCTAAAGAGCTAACCTGTCTTTTTTGCTAGCTCCTGCTGATTGGAACTTACGCCTTTACACTTCCCATATTGCTACAAAATCAATTGTTCTAAATTTGCCTCAGATTACGATTAACATTCTGTTGAATTAGGTGCTATAGCAATTGCTATGGAGTGTTGCATATTTACCTTCACTTCCTGTCTGTTTGTCTTGCTAATAGTTACATGTAATATTTTATTTTGTAGCCATAATTCTCTTTGGGGAGCCAGAGCGGTGGGAGCAAAGTCTTCAAATAATTATTGATTTACTGCTTCAGAATGGAGATCTAGGCAAGACTCCTGAGGAGCACTTGCGTGAGTCTGTGCATCTTGAGCGTTTTACTAGACATCAAGAAATATTGTAGTGATCTTGGATTTGGTAACTTGGTGACTTGTCTACGTAACACACACTGTAGTTGTCTTCACGTGAATGTAGTTAATTTTTTCATTGATACTGGTTGATGTCTTTTTGTCTGTTGTCAAATAAAATGTATACTCAATCTCGCTTATGGCTCAGTAGAGAAGACTATTCAATATGCACTTTAATTTCAAGCAATTTTACTAAAACTTTTAGCCCAGGTTGATGGAGCGTCACATTCACATCTGCCAGTGTTTGCCTGCAGTAGCGATCTGGTATGGGCAAGCGGTGCACCAACGCCACGGATTGCACATGGAAGTTTTCTAAGCTGTCTCGAGACCCTTTACCAGCGCATGAGTGGTCAATGTCTCACCTATACAGGTCTCGTCGGAAAACCCAGCCCGTTGGCTTACATGTTTGCTTTGTCTCAGCTAAATTCTATTGCCTCCAAAAATTTCGGAGCTACGAAACCTCTCAAAAGGGTTTACTGTATTGGGTAAATTTTAGCTTCTTTAAAACTGTGACGGTCTCACTATTTGTGGTAGTGGTAGTAACAATTTTGTACCCATTATGTTATTTTTAATATGCTCATTTCAAAACTCAGTCCATTATAACCAGTAATGTAGGTGCAAATCGACTTTTGACCCAAAGAGTTTTAAGGTTGATTCTACAAGCTAACCCAACTTTAGCACTTCATTGTAGCCTTGTCTTTGAGTTGTTAGGTACCTCTTACGAACAAAGGCATGTTGTATATTCAGATAAATGTGTGTATGTACATGTATAGGGACAACCCTGCGGTAGATGTTTATGGGGCGAACCTGTACAACATGTGCCTGCAGTCAATTTCGGATGAGAAGTTGGAGTCCCTGTCCACCAGAGTTAATTTTTTGGTCAAGGAGGAGCGCCCTGCCCTTATCCCAAGCACGCCACTGACTGATCCTGCGTTGGCTTGCACCGAGAACGACGACCGGTGGAAGCGAAGCATTGAGAGTTCAGCACTGATGCCACAGAGCCTCTGCGAATTAGTCTTTCAGAAGTCAAAACGCATTACCCCTTGCACCCTGGAATCCATTCTGGTGCTTACTGGTGTTTACCAGGTTAGAAATCACGATCTTATATGCTGTTTGGAAGGTGACTGATGCCCTGTTAAATTAAAATTTTCTGCGTGTGGTGCCTAGGGGGATTTCCAGCTGTCCACCGTTGGCTTGTTACTTTATCGCCCCTAAAACCCTGATCACATGCCATTTTTATACTGTTCATTGCCGTAATCAACAACCGCTGTCATCGTGGTCATAGAGATAGCTGCTTTTAACCATAATAACGCTGCTGTAGTCCCTCGCCATGATGCGACGTCTCTGGTGGCTTTAGATGGATTTCGGTTTCGATTTCTTTCAAATAGATATTTAGTTTACAAGTAGAATTCTTGGTGGAATCGATGCTATAACGACACTCGTCCACTTAGTTATTCAGTAACTTTCTTGTCGAAGCCGCCAAAATCTTGGGTTTATTTGTGCAAAAACATTCCCTTAGTGAATAAACTGTTACCTGTTAGCTGCGAATAATGTTTCTATCAAGTGCCTCCTGTGTAAATGTATATTACAACTTTTGCTTTTGTATTCATGGTTGCTGAAGCCGGCTGTTTTCTTTCCATTGTATTGAAGTCATTAGTCAATGGCGCACGCAAGCGAAATGAACTTACCCTTTACTTATACCATTGTGAGCTTTACTTTTCTGGATTGTTAGCAGATGCCGTTGTTCTGATTGTAGGAACATCGTAAGTCGCACCGCTTACGGCACAGTTTATATAATCCCTGCCAGGTGCATCCTTGTTTTCCCTACCGATCGACACTCTGTGAGCCGCGGTACGTGGCCCGAGATGTAGCTGAGGCTGTAAAGTATATTCTTCACATCGAGGGCCTCTCGGACCACGGTGAGGTCGATGTAACCCCATGTTGCCCCTACCTCGATGAAGTTGCTCGCAGTCCGTGAACGTATCTCACTTGCATTTATCTGCTGCTACACTTACGTTGCTCTTGCAATTTCGAGGCTATTCAATGACGGACCATGCCTGTTTTATTATTCGAAAATGTTTATTTTGTATTTCGAAAGTTTTGTAAAGAATCTGGTTTTTATTTTCCACATTATTCAAATTTACGTCGCATAATTGAAGCGTCTCCCAAAACGCACCGGATTCACTGTGTGAAAAACGAGTAAGCTAGCCTTGTGGGTGTACAATGTTTCATGTGCCTCACTTGCCTGGTACGCAAACAAATTAATTCATCACGCCAGGCTTCAAACGATATTCTTCGCACAAATACTACTGATACTGGGTGATTTCATCTGTATGAGTACCATTTTTCGTCAAAGTATTTGTGAAACGAGAAGCTCTGAGCGAGTGAGCTTTAAACTGGCGTTGAAGTCCACTATGTTGGATGAGTGAACAGATCAGAATTGAAATAATAGTGGATGCGTAGTTGGCAAGGGTCAGTTGCAGTGACATAATGAAAGCTGGCATCAATGACGTTGTGATCAGCGACAAGCTTACTGGGGTTTCGGTGAATGTGTTAAGATTTCAATTAAACGCTGCTAACACAATAATTTCTCATTAATAACCATTTTAGCAAAAGAAGCCTTTCAACATTCAGTTGAAATCTGTGTTGTTGCAATTGCTCCGGAGTGTTGCATGTTTGCTTTTACTGTTTATTTGCCGCCCTTCGGAGAACCAGAGCAACGTCTGTGCGTAATTACTTTTGCCAAAATTGAATTCATTGCCGGCATCTGGTATTCACCAATCAGCCCACTGTGTCTGGAAACGATCTTAGTTTTCAGTCCCCGGTGTAGATTGCTGTCACGCTTCAAGATCATGTTTATGTCAATAGATTTTGTAATAACATTCTTTTGGGTTGAATATCCATTCTTCATTTGTCCTGAATGTTTCGCTAATACAACGTTTGAAAATCAGCATAAATAGTATTAGTTGGTATATCAAACACCCTTAAAGCAATGGGAAATACACATTTCGTCTGGAGTTTTCAAACTGTCCAACCTTCGACAAAATGAATTCCCGATGCCGAAGTTTCTTCATTGAATTAAAGTAAACAAAATTTAACCCAGAATATTCTGCATGCCTTCGCCCAATCACAATCATTGGAAGACAATTGGCAGTGCGTCGCTTCAAGGTTGCTTTCCACAACCACGTAAATCCGATAAGGTACTAAAATCGTCCATGTCGCAAGTAGGTTCGGAATGCGCTTGGTAAAAAAATAGTCGGTCAATGGGTATAAATGCAAAGACTTTATTTTGAATACTTCGAACAGGCATACACCATGACGTTGTGGTCGCCTCCAACAGAGAGGAGGTGGGAACCATCACTGTTGTAGCGCACAGCCCAAACCTAAAATGAAACATTTTACATTGGTAAGCAGCATTACCGCATTGCTACATAAGTAGCTGCATCCAAAAGCAAAGAGCTTATCATCAATGAAGCATAGTTGCGGGAGGTGGCGATGGTGTTGGGACTTCACTACATTAAACTATAAAATTGTGTAAAAAATAGAAGTTCGAGAAAAAGGACCCACCATAAATTGTGTTCTCATGTTCTTGCAAACCGCATAACTTTAAAATGAAAGACTAAGTGAGAAGGGCCTACGTTTCCAGGAAACGAATACTAGAATTTGGGGCTTGATAGGTTTTACTTAACCGCATTTATTCATGGCGGTGCTCACGAGGGCAGCGCTAGCTGATAAATGCAGCATGTCTTGCGGGTCACGAATAAATCAACACATTGTCACGCCCAAATTTGAAGTTAGCGATACTCAAAGAAGGAGTGCTTGTGCGTGAATGCAAGTACCACCACGAGCTAGGCGACACACCTGATCTTCATGCTCCTTGAAAACGTGCTCCTCCATTTTGGAAGGTACATCCCAGACACGGACAGTTTTGTCAGTGGAAGCGGTTGCCAAGTGACGGTTGTCCGGACTGAAGGCAGCCGAAACGACCCAGGACGAGTGACCATTCAGGCTGGAGGCCACGAGGCGTCCGTCGTTTCTGGAGGGTGAAAAAGAGTCTTGCGAGTATAACCACGTTCGCCTTTGGTTTATGAATGTGAAAAGGCGGTAACAAAGCCTACTGCGCGGTAGTGCCTGGTTTCGTCAAGTAAAATAACCAGCATATATTAGCTCACACCAAGACAACACGCACGCACAACAATGTGCATTTCCGGGAGTTTAGAATTACGAAAAATGGCAGGCATGGCTTCCGTTTTCGATAGGTGCTTTTCCAGACAAACGGTGACCAACAAATCCCCGCCCCTGAATGCGAACAGTCACCGAGAAATGCGAAAAATGAAATTCCAGTTTATTATGCAAAAATTAAATGTGTGTACGACAACTCAATGCCGCAACATGCAGCTCCCCTCAGCAAAATTATGGATGAAAATCTTTGTGTAGAAGAGTCATCGACTAGACTGTCACTGATGCTTCACTTAACGAATTCAATGACACGGCAGTCATGAGTGATGAGAGATGTTACAAAGCAGTGTGCCACAGTGCCAAGTACAATCACCAATGAAGGTCAGTCCATCGTCTTTAGAAAACGCAAAGGCGCATTCCATTCAACATCTCACACGTGTCCAGGTGTTCCGAACGCACGAATCGTCAAATAGCTTCCTTCGATAAATCACTCATGTCCGGCGTGGTGAAAACCAAACCACGGTGGCGCTTTCACATATGAAAACCAGCGGCCCCTGGAATGAACGGCGCGGATTCGGTGATGAAGCAGTGGCGCTACTTGACGCTGTCACAACAGTATACAAAACAAATTCCCGATGTGGACAAATTTTTCGGCTTGTCATAGCCACTTAATTATCACGCCCAAAAAAAACATGTAAAATAGCATTGTAAAAATTTCCATGTCTTGTCCTGACGTGTATCGGCTGACACAATCGATTGACCTCCTGGCCGTCCTCACAGCAGCGCACCTGTCAACAGCCCTCATGAATACTTGACCTTATGTCGTGTCGAAACGTGCACCAAAGCATTTTTAACGGTGCGTTTTGACAATTTCAAGTGTTTTGTGTGAGGCTTTGTGGTTGTCGATACTATGGGTTGCTGCAACGCGTGGGTAACGTTGGTACTGGAGGGTGAATACACGCTACCACAGGACCATTGTCCGAAAACTGTTTTCTAGGCACGATATCATTGATTTTAGAAGTATGTTTCCGGGAAAAATCTATATTCTAATTGCCGGCTTTTGAATAAAAACAGTCATTTAAATGTGCTTCGTTTGACAGTTTGGTGCCGTCTCCTCAAACGTAGCTCACTTGTACCATTTTTAAAATTGAACCTGACATCAGATAGTTGGCATGGCATGTGGTTTTACACTCAATCAACGTGCGCCAGTGCAGCCATGAAAACCACAAACCACGTTAGGGCGGTACCATTATAAATCCACGGCAGTTTCCTAATTACTTGGTAAACACGAGCTTTAAGGACAGTGCACGGGCCGTCATTAAATATTAGCACACAACTCAAGATGGTTACCTGTTAGAGATCCATAGTTGATATTTGCTAATTGATGCTTATGAATCTTCATGTCATATCAAATCCTTCCTCTCTATGTAACACGGTGACCTAATCCACTGATTTTTGGTGGGCCCGAGTGAAGACGCAACCAGCTCCTCAGAACGGCACTACTCAAGGAAGTTTAGTGTACTGTTAGTGTAGAGACAAATTAAACAGTTTTGGTCACCAGGAGATCAAACCCACTAAAAAATGGGGCATCGCAGTTGCTTTAGGGGAACTTTAGAACCTCTAATAAAAGAGTCAGATGTATATAAATTCTACAGTGCAATAAAGGCACGCAAGAGTTGACATCGACAGCAGTGTTTACTCGTGCCAAAATGTGGATGCGTTCACGACGAACAGACTTGACGAAATACACTACGTGACAGAACTGAAATCTCTTGAAGGACGGCGTCAAGTACAGTTTCAAGAACGACTACACAACTTGCTTAATCGCATTCCCATTACCGTATATTGCCGGTACCTCCATGGTTCTGGTTTGTAAAACGCATCTCTACAATAGCGCTTTTTCATACCTAAATCGAGCAAATCAAATGCGTTAGAAGGCTCTGGGGAAAGATTAAAACGCATTCAACCAGTCTCATTAATTCCATGATGAACCGACTTCAAACAAAACAAAAATCGGGGATTTGGACACGGAAAAAGATCGATTAAGTAAGGCAAGTGCGAATATAACAAAACGAAAACGCCAATTTCAAGGTTTTGGAGGATTCCTGCGAGACCTCTGTTTATTAGTTTCGATGGGTGACAAGTTTCAATGCTGTCCAGGTTTTGTCGGCATTACAGAATCTTGCAACAAAATTTCGCTCATAAATTATCTAGGATACGTAGCGAAGCAAGTCGGCCTACAATACCACGCCAATGCATTATAAGCTTTCATTCATAACTACAACGTAATACATTCGGGGACTGCATTCAGGGACCTGCAGACACCAAGGTGCAGCAACAAGAAATCGAACAACCATTTTATGCAATCTAAAAACACAATCATCCACAAATATTCAATACCACTGCATCCTTTTGGCGCATAGTGAAGAGGCTTTCGCGGAATTGCGTTAGAACAATCACCGCATACGGCCATTGGTTCGTTGCCACGCGCCGAATCAACAACACAACACAACATCATTCCCACTCCAATACCATGCGGAGTAGCAAAAAATCAAGTTCGGGGACAGTGGGAACTCAACATGGTCGACTCCATGTTGTCAGGTAGATTAAATAGTGCAAGGCGAAATGAGACATCGACCGGAAAGAGAGGGGAATTACAAATCCGATCATCATGCTTAAAATAATTTCCCAAATAATCAAGAATGCGAGGTGACTTACGCGTCGTAGATGCGGACTTGTTTGTCGTCGGAGGTGGAGGCGAGGAGGCGGCCGTCGGGCGAGAAGGCGACCGAGCGCACGGGCATGGCGTGGCCGTCGAGCGGGAAAATGGCGCCCGAGCGCAAATCCACGATGCTCACGATGCCGCTCATGGAACCCGCGGCCAAGCGCGTCCCGTCGGAGCTCTGAAGACAAAGACAAAGGCAAAGGGCACTCGACCTTGTCAATTAACACCGACGACATCTCTCCTCAAGGGCATCGCTCCGCATTCGTGTTTGTTCCTGCGACTACGCCTTTTACCTTACTTTGGCTCTTAGATACCGAAATTTAAGCCACATTTGCACGTACTCATGAACTACAGATTTGCGTTGGTATTAAAAATAGAACCAATTTTGATTCAGATTACCTGTTTTCCGAAAACACCAGATTGGTATACAATTCCCCGTCTGTATAACGACACAAAGAGCACACACCCCTGACCAACCAACAATGACTCTTTGAAGCACTCGTTGTAGAATATGCGTCATCCATATGCTGGCGTTCGCGTCCTTCGACGTGGAGCCCACTACATCCTTAGGGCCGACACCGAAATCGGTTCCAATCTCTTTAACACATCAACAAGCACTGTTGCAAACAAACACTGAATTGAGCAAAGTTCATTTGCTAGTGGTAAAACGGTGATAGCTAGTGTCCACGCAAAATAATACCGACCACTTCACCCCAGTCAGCTCGTTACTACCCGCTATTCAGGACTCACGTGTCTGAATTCATGCAAGTGCAACAACACGGCCTGCCTGGTGGAAACCTGGACAGCAGACACACAAAGTCACGCACTTTCCCAGAATGCCGCCAGGGTTGTTGAGTTGTCTATTACGTGTAATTCAGACATGGACCCGGTCATAAAAGTCAGTAGCTCAATTACAATGATTTGCCTAAGTGTAAAACTATTTGGAGTCGCGTTTAGCGCACCAAATAAACAGCTTCTATGTCGCTTTTAACATGGCTAGGACGTTGTCATGTGAATTTATCGCATTTGTCAGTTTTGGGCGGTTAGACAATAAAGTCTGAGCTCAAAAATGAAAAAAAAAGGCAATTGGAGCAAAAGGAGTAACCAAACGAGTGGTCGCCTCAACACACTTAAAAGCCGAGGTCCGAATATCATGTCTACTACACAGACTTACTTTTTAGCTCAGGTGGCCGACACATTTACAACAATGATGGAGTATGTAGCGAGTAGGTCAATTTAGACGTTGTGTTAGAGAGAAACCGCCTTAAAAGGCTTTTTTACTTATCAGACAAGTTGAAACACACTAACGTTAAAGTTTGAGAAACCCTTTTTCTAAGACCGCTAGGCCAATATAATCATGTCGACGTATGCGCAGAAGTAAACTATTAAAGCAAAAACCACATTAGAGCACGAGTAATGCTCCCATGATTGGCATGGTAGTGAGTGATTACCGATCGAAACGGAGCAAGAGCCTTGTAAAAAAGGTCACACAAAGTTTGCGCACCGACATTGGCAAGAGGGTCAAGACAGCGCTACCTGGGCCTCACTACCACACCAAAAGCAGCGGGCCAGACTCACGTATGCAAGGCAGTAGACGAATTTGCCGTCGAGGTCGATGGAGCTCTCGTTTTTGTGCGACTCCACACCGATCATGTGGACGCAGCCCGAGTGGCTGCCGGTGGCCACGAAGCGCGAGTCGGGCGAAAACGCCACCGACCAGGTCTCCGCCGGTGCGCCCTCGTGCACGCTCACCTGTTTGTTGCTCTCCAAGTCCCAAAATATGATCTTTTCAGGTAAATCAGGAGAAAAAAATGAACAAACTAGTGGCCAACAATACAGAACACTCATTATTTTAATTATAAAAAAAGTCATAAAGTGAGTTACAGGCAAAGTTATTGAGATAACGTCAAGTGAATTGCTAGACTTGGTTAGTGTTGACTATTCGGAGAATTTTGCCTTCATGATATTCCGCAAAGTTAAAAATATATTTTGACACAGTTTCTTTGAATAGGGGAAACGCCCAACACCAGAATATGCACAGTATGCGACAAATATTAGGCAGACGCGAAAGTAACCGAACGCGCCAACCTCCAAGGCACGCGTTTCATAATCATTTTTGCCGAATTTCGAGTGAAGTACAAATACCACTTAACGCAGGTACTTTTGCCAGTCAACAGGCCTTAGAGAAGAACAAGTATCCTTTTACTAGGCAAAAGGTTATGTTAAAGTACAAACAAGTGCTCGTGTCAACATGGTCAAATAATGGGGCAGATGCCTATTTAAATACGTGCATGACGATGATATGTGTTAGGGGCGCATCGTGCATTTACCACTAAAATTAACTCCAGAAGGATTTATTAGAAAGAAGGCCTACTTATGAATCAAAAGTAGCGCGTTGCATTACGACGTAGCAAATACCTGATTGTCGAGACTTCCAGATGCTGCTAGTGTACCAGCCTTGTTAATATCGACAGAAACAACACCCAAGCGATGACCCTCCAATGGGCACGTAAGATTAAGCGCATTTCCATCCCTAAAAGTAATAACAAGAACAGAGACGAATTACTTGTGTGATGAGGGAATTTTTAGTCCTTGAAAGGCTAGCAGAGAGCACACGTCCTCCACTGGTCCAAATTCATGCGGCGAGATTCAGGCTCACTTAACAAATTGCCACGACTCCTGTCTAGATTCGCAATTTTCAGTCATTAAGCTATTGAATGTTTGGACCTAATCAAACTACATTATAATTTTGCATTTAATTTAAGTTAAAAATTAATGTCGCTAAGCAAGGTAAGTGTACGCATTGAATTAAGTACTTAAGAAATAGTACAGTAACAATTCAATAGGGCTAGATTTACACTCAACAAGTGTGACACTGTGGATGTGTCAAACGCATTCAAGTGCCAAAAATCAAAGGTGTTATAATAAGGATACGACTGACAAAAATCAACAAAGCTTATGAGTATTGGTAAAGCTATCTTTTTGAGTAAACGATTAAAGAACATTTTTGTGACCGTGTGAACAGCACCAAATGGGAGAACAAAAACAAAATTTATGCATTCTGCCCATACACCTTGTTGATAAATTATTTGAGCATTTCAAACGGTGCACCTGATATTTAAAAAAAAACAGTTTTTACGTGAAGGGAAAAGAACATAGTTCGTGGCACACGGAAACCAATGACAATAAAGCACACTTCAAAGCATCGATGAATCGCTCTGAGGCCACGCAGTTGTTGATACAATGTAAACATTTTCGGAGGAGCACAACTCAATACTTCAAGGGAAAACGCTTTGGATTCAAATAGGTTTCGTAAGGGGTCCGATTTCAAACTACTCGTGTGAAGAACTCATGGATTGGTGTACCTTACAACCTTAACCAAACACTCCCACGTATTTTAACAAACTCTTTAACAACTACACATACAACACCTACCTAGCCACATTTATGGAGGATGGGTATTAGTCTAAATGCTGATTTGGACTGTTGAATGGATCGTCGACAAGCATCATCACTAATGAAATGCTAGATACCTAAACTTCGGCTCCCTTACGATAACAAGAGTCAAAATCATGATAACAAACAGTTGACGAAACTGGAATTTGATTTTAGGAGAGAAAACGGCGGAAATGAAAGCGCGGAACATACATGGATTGATTTGCAGACTGACATTAGTAACTGAAGATGCTAACGACATCGAAGTAAGACTCAGGTGAAGGCAAACTTGCCGGAAACAGGACTACTTATTATTAAATGCGCAACATGCGCGGTAAATTGACTCACCAATTCCATAATTTGAGAGTGTTGTCTAAGCATCCGGTGATGATAAGATCCTTTCCATCGGACTCGCGTTTGCGCCAAGCGCAGCACCAGATACCGTCTTCGTGGGCTGGGAAAGCAATGCGGGTTTTTTAGCGAACGGCGTTCGAACGATGAATGATTTGGGTGGCAAAAAAATTATCGCATAGAAATACGCACCGCTGTCACTGGTTGAAGCTTCGTGGACACTTAGGTTTAAAAGCTGTCATTGCATGTCAAATAAGTGGAAAAAAAAACCTTTTTAGACCCATCGTCAATGACATGATGCTACGACATACTCCTGATTACAGGCGAAAACAAGTAAAAGCTTAAGATTTTTGTTTTCGAGACCGTCTACTTTGGCATCAGCCCTACTTTCTTTGCAGTGTAACATACCACACGACACAGAGATGACTACGTCTGTTTTTTGGTCGAGTTCTATGCAGATAATTTCCCTGTTAAATAAATGTAGTGAAGAGTTCTCGGTAGATGATTATGAAAGTTGCCATCATTAAATAATTCCATTAAAATGCACTAGACCTATTCTCGTTCCGCATCACCAATACACTTATCCTGATGGCAGTTAAAAGTACAGGAGAGCACAAACATTAAGAACTGGATTACTTGCGTCCTTAGTTCTCTTCCAGTTCGGGACAGAGAAATTTAGTCCTAACTGGATCAAGTAATAAAACATGAACTTGAATTGAAGCAGGGTAAGGAGAAGCGAGGAGGCAAAAAAAGCGCGATACACTAGATGGTCATTCGCTTTGCTGCGATAGACTATCCAAGGAAACCGCACCGACTTACCTTTTTCCTGCTTGTATTTTAGAGAATACTAAAAAAGTCAAACGGCTTTTAGGAATAACCAACCAGTGAGTGCAAAAACTGACACCGTCCTGGCAAAAAAGGCAGTTTTGTTGAAAACCCATAGACACATTTCACATAGGCCAGAAGAAACTAACCTGGCATTATCCCATAAAATTATGCTTTTCAACAAGAGGTTTTTACTTACTTCTTCAGGGACTTAAGCGCTATTCAAGGAATCGTAATTCCTTGAGTTAGTTATTTGCACGTCTATTTTGGATGGAATATTATGCAAATAAGACCGGATGTAACCAGAATGCACTTATTAGAGTAGTCAGCAAATGATCAAAGGTATCACATTATGCTATCCGTATTGCGTAGTTGGACCAGTTAACACTAGCTCCCATTGATAGCTGCAGCACCATAAGTATTAAATGTCCAAACTAAGACTCCAAATAGGGTGACTACATCGACTAAGAAAGTACAGGCAAAAACCAAGCAAATCAAAAACGAAGTAACCTCAAAAGTGAGTGGGGACTTGACGGCAACATACCTCAAAAAGAGGGCCTGGTGTCAAATATTTATTTAAAGGAGCAGCCAGAACAAAGAGAAATTTAGGAAAACGCTGACAAGATCAGTGTTTGAGGAATGGATAAATGAGTAACATCAACAAAGCCAGTTCTAATAAACTTGAGCACGACAAAACGGCAAAGAAACTGTAAAGGGGGAACAAGTAGATATCGGTTTTGGGGATAGAGGAGACGAACTTTTTGTCTTTCTTGAAAAGGATCTGTACACGATGGCTCTGACTCAGACGGCCCGTTTGTTAGACAATAAGCCCTTTTTTCCGAGCGTGCCATAGCACTTTCGATTAAATCGTTAACAGATGTAAAAGATTCACCCTAAATATGTCACAAAAGAGTAAGCACAAAAATAAGAAATAAAGGTACAATAAGAAGAAATCTAGGGAATGTTAATTAAATTCGATGAAAAAACCTGCACGTGGGATTTGAACAAAAAAGCTAACCACGCTAGGCGCTGCATAATTTGTCAGAAAATTTTAGAGCACAGGGCTAACTTTAATAAACAAACATTCGGTGTAAAAAGGCCTAGTCCGTAATTATAAACAGATATCGCATTGTAAGCAGGAGTATCAAGTCAACAATAATCATTAATAAAGTAAAAAAAGGGTCAGACGTCACCTATGACAGAACCAAACAACTTAAATTAAACATTTACCTGAATAAACCCGAATACAGTGCCGGTTTGCGCAATACGATTGTTAAGGATAGAATTGTTTGAGCAACGGAAAGTTAACGTGAACTTAGAAGTATCATGTTCACTGTCACGAACAATAAAAGATCCGCTTGGCGCATCCTGAAGCAATTCCTTGGCCTCTAACAAAGTTAGAGGGCCCCAAAACCACGGTTGGCTACACAGGTTCGCGTAGTGAGCACGATCGCCATGAGCTAAGCACGAATATCTGGCTAGGTACTTAACTAAAACTAAAAAGTATTTGAAAACGAGGAATTCTAACTTTCACGGCATTCCCCATTTCCCCTAAGATTCGAAAGATTATGCTCACCATCTTTTGGTGGCTCAACACCACAGATGTCCTCACGTTCAATATTTAGACACTTTCTAAATAGACACTTCAGTCCCGAAAGGCCATTTTTTACATAAATTTCTTTCATTTCAAAAGTTTAGGTTCATTAGCAAATCATCGTCTACCAGCACAAACCCCAAAAAAACTCAGAATACCAAGCGATTCTCAATAGTTTAAATATCCCATTGGGTAACTCAAACCAAAACTTTAGAAAGTGGAAAAAAATATTAAATTAAAATGAATAGTAGGCAACTATTACTAATACGACGTATACAAAATTTGAATTAATTTTCATAAGCACACACCCTATCTCCAGCAAGGATTATTAAAAGAGGCGATAAATTTTTGTAAATAGTCATTTGTTATTTGCATATTCTGTTAGTTTACATTAACATTTTTAATATTTCAGCATGCAAAAAAAGACTACACTAAACTGTGTACAATCTCTTAATTTTTATCAGAACTTCACACATAAATACATACACTTACAATGCCACATTGCATTAGTGTGTGCCTGATATTTTAAATGAACAAAATAGATAGATATTTCAGAACAATTAACTATCACTAGACAAATTTTCTGGCAAATCGATAGCTCAAAGTACATGTTCCGACTACGTTGAAAATCATTTCTCTGATATATTTCATGTCCACTTATAAGATTAAAAGGAAATGTTGCAAGTCGAAAAAAATTTTCTAGGATGAAAATATATCACGGCTGATCACAGTCATACAAAGTGATATTATCCTTAGTAATGTGAAAAAATTTGCGTCAGGCTAAGGAATTTTTCTCCTCAATAAATTAATACTCTATTTCGCACATCAATTAGAATTTTTAATACGATCCCTTATATAGCAATGTGCATTATTCAATTATTGTCTCTCATTCAAGAAACAGCAAACACTACATTTACAAATATGCGCATGGCAGCTAAATTCAGCATAACATTTGCCATACCTCAAAATAAATAGTATAAATCAGATATTTCCAACTGTCTAGTGAAATAGCATATCTACTAGGGTCCTGTTCATTGCGATGAATAGTTTTGGTCTTACATTTTATTAGAGAATTTAATTTTTCAAAAGCCCAAAATCAAAACTACCGTTAAATATATATATATTGCTATTTTTGTGTTACAAGGCCAGATTATTACAAAAAAAATTAAATTCTAATGAACGAGAATTTGCGTTTGCAAGGAACTTTGAAAGTTAATAGTCCGTAATATCTCGAGAAAAAAGACTAGGCGGACGAGAGCCGATCATAACTTTTGTTCACCTAATGCAAGACAAACGTGCTTTTCTGTGAGGTTGTGTTACAAGTAACATAAAACGGGGAACAATTTTGACTAGGCAATGACGCCAATATGTGGAAAAGTAAGCGTTTTTCACTCAATCAATAAAACATGCCACAATTACCATTTTTCAGAGGATAAGGAACAAGGGGTCTCTGAGGTCGATCGAAGCTGAAGATTGAAAAAGTTAAAGATTTACGGTAGATTAATGGTTACATGACTGCTAAAAAGGCATTTTATTCTATGCAACTTTGCGATGAAAAACACTAACAGTATCTCCACCCACGATTACAAGTAAATTATAACTTAATGCTTTTAAGATATTCTTTTCGAGCACTCTTATTCCTGGTTCACCGTTTTTCGATACCCTTCCGGGTGCATTTGTAGCGAGATCCGTTAGTCATACGATATCTATTTGAGTCTTAAACACTGGCTGCTGCGCTCAATTCATGTTGCATTTAGGTAGTCTTTAACTCTGGTTGATTGAATATCAACCGCCTAGGCAGTTCGAAATCAGAGACCAATTATTAGCAGAGGCGGGCGCGTTCCAACATGTCTATATGCAACAGACTTTATTGTCCAATCACAAACCAGAACCACATGTCAGGTGCAGTTATCTGAGTCCACCACGTTGGCTACGCGGCTCATTATATACCGTTCCTTGTTTGTTCCTTTCTCTGGTTGGCTGCATTTCTTCCTCGTATGCCATTGGAACACAGAGAGACAGAAGATTTCCTGAGGCCAGTGTGGTCCAAGATTTCTGAACCTACAGACGGTGCTATTGTACGCTTCGCCCCAATTGCATGATCAAAAAGAATTACAAAATAGAGTCCTTGAATAGAAATTAAAACTGATCATAAAATGGTTGGGCGTAAAGGAGAAAAAGGGCCTTTATAAATCCTTGTCCTGGCTGTCGTTGTTGTGGGCCCCGGCATGTGGTCTTGAACCACGCCGGGGCCACTGAATTAACCCTAGTCCGATAAGGCTTGCCTGATACCCGCGATAAAGAAAAAGACCGGAGAGGACGTGGACAAAAACGTTTACTTCAGAACTCGGCCACGTTGGTGTCGTTGCGTCATGCGTTGTGTTTGCGCGTGTGTATTTATACCTCGGGTGTGTGAGTCATATATGCGCTAACATCGAGATCTAGGTGTGGGGATAATCCAAGATAAATATCCCCGTGAATGAAAGGAGAATTTAGTATTCGCGCGGTTGGCGACATGCTGCGAAAAAGGGAACCCTGTGTATTAGGTGAAGCGACCGGATTAAGGAGTGTGAATACAATTCACAACATCCTGTTTTCCCGCTGGTCCGTTCAGCAGCGCTGTAATCTAGACGCAAAACTCGTGATCGGATTGGCTCTCCCATACTTTGGTGCGTCATTCAATGTTCGCGTGATGCCACGCTGTCGTAAGTCGCGCCCCAGGTTACATGACGCCGCCAACATGCCGTGCTGATTACCTTCGACCAAGGACTGAGCGCCAAGATGCCGACTATATGCATTCAACCACACTATACTGTCCTCAGCTTCTGGCTTGGTTCTTCGCACTGTTTATGATTGTTAAAATATCCAGTTCGACACTCCCGACACCCCACATCTGGCAGGATAGTGGCCCATGCGAATAGTTGACGAGGGACTTTGCTCTTTTAGACTTGCAGGAAGGACTCATCATCCATCGAAGTTCCTTTGCAGATGCGGTCCAGCTGGCTTTCACTGTTCAAGTCGTCGTCGCTGAGTTGCCAATGCCTCTTCAGATGCAGTGGTCCTAATCCCATTCGAGTCCGCTACGCTGGTCACGCCGCTCATTATATACTGCTCCTCAGTCGTGTCCTTCACAGGTAGGCTGCTTATCTTCCTCGAATGCCATTGGAACGCAGAGAGACAGGTTTGGCTGAGGCCATGGGGTTCAACATGTTTGCGCCCTAATCCGACGCCACACCACACTGCCTCCCCCTTATGAGTGAAGCTGTCCTCGGCTTCTGGCTTGGTTCCTTGCACTGTTGTTGTTTTCCAGTGTTGATAAGATATCCAGTTCGACACTCCCCGCACCCCACATCTGGAGGATAATGGCCCATGCGAATAGCTGACGAGGGACTGTGCTCTTTTAGACTTGCAGGAAAGACTCATCATCCATTGAAGGTCCTTCGCAGATG